AAGAAATAGGGCAGCTGCACAGATGTCATAGAGCTGAGCACCTGCTTCCCTCATTCTGTCTGCAAGAATCTACCCTTTTATTTCTCCATAAGCATTACAGCTTGCATCTTCATCTTTTGGCAGGCTAGTACCTCTACATAAAAGGACATTAAAGAAAAAGAAATATATATAAGTACATCATGATCAAGCTTACCTGTATGCATCACCTAGACATTTGGGCTCCTGAATTTCCCTTATTGCTTCCCACGAGTCCTCCAATTACCTGCGAACTAACCCCCACCCCCACTACTGTCGTGGGGTTTCCTGTGCTGCTTCCTGTGCAGCCGTGTAGGACTGCACCTCCCTGCAATTCCTGGCTTTCCAGGAATTGCCAACACTAATTTCTAGGCTTTCCCTCAGTTTTGTAGGAATGCCCCTCCAAATCCCTCGGGGTTTCCAGGAATTCCTTGTGCTCCTTTCTTGGACCATTATGGCTCATTCCCCCCACCCCCACCATTTTCAGGAATCCCATTTTCTGTCCAGGATTTCTGCCTTTTCTATTTTGTAATTGGTATGATTTGCTTGTATAGCAGCAGCAAAAGTACAGTCATCTTTGTCGTTGTTTTTTCCCCTTCTGCTATTTAAGGCCTCTAGCAGGATGCGGCTCTGTGCTTCACAAGCCGTGTAACGAATGCTCGTAAAATCACATAATACTGCAAGGTCATTGGTAAGTCTTTCCAAAATTGACTCATTACCTTCATTGTTGTGAAATAATCAATTCAACAATTTACTCTAAGCACATTTTGCTACCCCACCGGAGATAGGCAAGTATTATATTGGTTCCTTAACAAAAGATGCCAGAGTCCATTGCCTTATTGATCTTCACATGAAAGACAGCAGAAATCTGAAACACACAAAATCATTTCTTCAAGTTTCAAAAAGATGTCTGCCAGAATGAAAAACCAAAACAACCAAGCAATCAAAACCCAAAAATGCCACCACCCAGGGCAAAGCCCTTACTTCTCTCGTGAAAACGAAAAAGGAGTGGAGGTAGCAGTGTACGTAGAAGCTCCGGAGAACAGTTGAGTTAATGAACAGACAATCTCATGAGATTTATCTGCTATAAAACTTTGAGATCCAACTTAAGTCCTGATCTGCTAATGAATGAGAAGTCCCTACCACACAGACAAAGTTACGTCCACTTAGAATGTTTCCTGAAAATCCAACACTGCTGGAGGCAGCCTCCTAAAGCTACTGTTAAGAAGTAGGTAATTAAACATCACTTTTTTTCAAGATTATTTCCACGGTAAGTTCGTCTGTAATACACACATCCGCAAGTCTAGGTGAGAAATGCAGAACTACGTATTCAACCGAAACTGTTACTCCAAAATACTGTATTGTTAAAATAGAAAGGAACAGGGTGTTTAACAAACTGTAAAATGTTTTGACTCAAAAAGTGTTGTACAGCAGATGGAGCTACAAGTATGGTCTATGAATAGCCACCTACACATGAGAACACACAGAGATAATAAATATACATAATGTATCGCATCAAGCGATTATTTTAAACAACTGTTCTATCTGCTACAAAATGACAGGCAGAAGTTCACTTTTGTGAACCAAAGTTCACAACAAAGCAGCTCTCCAAGTTTCACATCAACAAAGATCGAAAAGAAATGAATGTTACCAGCTTGCAAATGCACATTCAAATGTCACATAACAGTTCAAGTTCTTCTTTTGACCAATATCTACAATTATGTCATCCACGTTCCCCTTAAGAGGAGGTAAAAGCAGGGCAGGGATGCCTGCCATCTTCAATTGAAGTGTGAGGACTGAGAAAGGATGTGTGTTATTTCACCACACACCAGTGACAAAAGTAAAAATCAGTTTGTTTCAAACAAGATTCCTCCTGGAAGACCATGAGCCCATCCATTACCGCACTTCCCAAGACAATTGTGACACTCCTCTCCTTCATCAGAAATAAGTGCACTGCAAGCGTTCCGCAGGCTTCCCTCCCCCTCCTTTGGATGACCAACCAGACTACGCCAACCAGATCCAAAAGTGTTCCCAAGTGCAGAATGACTTTATATAGCAGACGAGAGAGTCAGGTTTCCAAATGAAATCTTTCCAACCTCAGCTCCACAGCAGAACAGAAACATTAATACATTTTAGATTAAGCATCTACCTTCTGTTCCTTCCCCTTCGCAGAAATAAAGGACTTGCAGGAATGGGCAATACTGACTAGAAACATTTACTAATTCCCCTTTTTTTACTACTAGCTATGAGGTGATCAAAAAGAACTACATGAACAGGCCAGCAGAGTTCTTAGGGTTTTACAATGAAATATGCAAACACTTTCCCAATAGCCCACAAGACCAGACCATCCAAACTGATACTGAATCACTTGGCTTTTCTGTAAGTTGTATGAAATGAGAGCCTCACAATTTCCACTGGACTGTTGCATACGTACTAACATCTCCCCCTCACAATCATATTTTCTCTCCTTTCCATCTGGCTAAAAATCATGGCAAAAACCAGCAAAAAAACAGGTATAAGAGAGGACTGCCAAAAAACCCTCTAACTAATCTAAGAACTTTGCCTGTTACAATTTTTCAAAATTTACATACATCACCACAGGAGCATATTATATCTTAAATCATGCTTTATTAGGAAAAAAATCCTTCTTGATTACATAAATACAGATAAAGTGCTCAAGGCATTATCTTTTTAAGCGCTTACTTGATTTCCAATCATATTCTTTATGCTCAAGACTAAACAATTCCCCACTTCCAATCATCTTAATAAACAACGAACTGCTGAAAGTGTAAATTTGCATGACGAGAGAGTCAGGTTTCCAAATGAAATCTTTCCAACCTCAGCTCCACAGCAGAACAGAAACATTAATACATTTTAGATTAAGCATCTACCTTCTGTTCCTTCCCCTTCGCAGAAATAAAGGACTTGCAGGAATGGGCAATACTGACTAGAAACAACTACCACGTATGATATATTTAATGTAGGATTAAAGACAAAATTGAGAAGGTGGCATCCTTACTTAATATCCTTAAGTAGCATCCGACAATTCCCTAGCAAGACAGGCTAAATTATCTCTCATTAACACCACAAAGCTAAGGCATCGTGAGACTCTTGTAATTCCTCTGTCTTAGAATTGTTGACTATTTTTGACTATTCCTTATCATCAGTGAAAAGGGTCATACCCAAATTTGTAATTTGCCCTTTAGATCTCAGTCACTGAGCCCTCAAAGCTGTTGGTTCCCCTAAGCAGAAAGATGCACTTTGTTTCTTTAGGAGGATATTCTACTTCAGCTCGCTTCCCAGGCAGCCATGAGGTTTGTATTTACTCAACCAAAGATACAAGTATAAAAATCTTTTTCAGATGTCAATTTAAGCCAGCTGCGGTAAAAGAGCTGAATCCTACATTTAAAAGATCTGCAGCAGCCCTCCACTCAGATGAGTTTCTGTTGGTAATTCCAAAGACTTTCAGAAGTCCTGCACAAGTAAAAATTTTCTCTAACTGCACATGCTACTTCACATCAGTTCAAATTAATTTCTTGCTACAGCCTTCAAAAAATTACTACTTAAATAAGCAGCTACATTCAGAACCAGTTGGTTTCAGTTAATCTACCAAATAACATTGCAAAACAAACAAACAAAGTAACACTGGTTTGAGAATCTTTGGATTAAAATACAGTTTTGTATCTTTGAAGTTCAAATAAGGGTTCTGAGAGAGAAGTCCTGTAGTAATCTAGGCAGATAAACACTAACATAATGTAATTTTTACTTTGACCATACTCACAGGAAAAGCCCATCATCATCTAATAACCTTTCATCTCATTAAAGAACATGAAAAAAATATGTCTTCATCCATATAAGCAGGTTACGAAACACCTGACCTAAAACAACTGAACTAAACCAAATGTAAAACAGACTTTCGAGTCACCAGATGCTTCCAATGCAATGTATGCACACTCCCACGAGTCGCAGGCCGGAACAGCTTAATCACTGCTACTCTCATACTGCTAAAGAATCCAGCAGGCACAAGAATTTCTGTGACAGGGTATATATGGCAAGTGATATAAACATAAGAGTACACATAAGATTTATAAAAAATACAAACAGACTTTTGGTTTCATTAATAACACAGGAGAGATTTGATCAATATGTTGTATTTTAATCCAAAAGCTGAGATACTGAAGGGCCCAATTGCATGGGCGAGACGTTTCTGGTCACCTCCTTCTCCCCAGCCTCACACGTATACATTGAGGGTAGAATTCCAAACGTTTAAAGAGAGGTAGCAATCACTTCACATGGTACCTTATTGCCCTCAACCTGGCAAGGACAGAATAGCTTAACATTCCAGCAGGACAATATAGCTCCAAGACCTCTGTGGAGTATTTTTCAAGGCTTAAGCAAAACACATCTTACCTGTCTTCAGTTCAGACAGTAGCCCTAAACTAGAACGACTTAGTCCTCAATTTTCAGTTTGTCCTAAGTTTCATACACAGATTGCCTAAACACAAGTCCAAGAAAGACAAACAGGTCTCACCCAGAACACTGCTTCAGGAATGTCCATAAATACAAATAATGTGGAACTGGGATGAGACCACGAGCAGTGTCCACGTTCAGAAAACTAAAAAGGAAAATGCATGACATCTGCAAATTAGCTACATGGAAAAGGTTAAATGCCTCTTTGTCTGATTCTAAAACCTACGTCATCAATCCCAAAGAGCAAGTCACTGTGTCACTGCCACTGTTTGGCATCCAGCACATGCTCTGGAGATCAACATTAAACAGTTTTGTAAAAAAAAAAAAATCAGAGAAACCATGTCCTAAGTGCCAACCCCAAAACTTACTGAAGTAAAGCAAATCTGCATAGCAATACTTTCCGAAAATACAGTTCCACCAGGAAAATGCTTGTCTTGCGAAGAAAATCCTTTTATAATAAAACACCAAAAAAGCCTTTATCCTTAGATAAGATCTTCTATTTTCTCATGTCCCTCTCATGTTAGGTGTTCAGCAATGATCTTCCACAATTCCTGCAGGAGTGTAAAAAATACATACAGGTATTTTTTCAGATCAGAAGGTCGCAATTATGAAGAAAGTTCAACATGCCCACTTGCAGACAAGTTTTAAGACACACCCCATACCTCCCCCTATAGACAGCATCCATCTATGGACGCAAGCTAAATCCATCTATGTAATCTCCTAGAACAACCACCATACTGTCTTTAAGACAGAGCAACAGAATTGATTTCTTCATTCTTGTAGCACAATTTTTTAAAATAATAAATAGTATAATTGAAATAATTTGTTTTAAAATAATGTCATTGCTCTGCATGACCTTCTGCAGTATTGTGACTAATAATTTTGCTCTTTTTCTTAGCCTGTGTTGACAAATGGTTTCAATAACGTTAGTAAAAATACAACTGAAAATATACTAAATTTACTGAGGAATCAAGGCTTCACAAATGCATGTGTTATACAAACACACATCGCCTTCTCAATCTGTGGGACAATGAAAACAAAAACCAGACCACTCTATTTCTGTAGAATACATTAGTGTATGCTTTGTCTGCTATACACAAGATTATTAAGAGACTATCACATACACCATGACATCTTGAATTGTGGCAGTATACTTCATGATCAATAAAAACCTTAGGTGTTTTAAAAAGGCATATATTTCAAAGACCAGTACCCTTCCGCAAAAAGGCTAGGGAATGAGTTCGCACATTCAGGTATAATTCAGGTTACATTTATACACTTGTAAAACTCGTTTTAAAGTTTTGTATGCATGTTTTGTGCCTGAAGGTATCCGCATTGAGTAAAATAAATCAATCGCATGAGGTACCAGTGGCCCCCATAATCTTACTACGCATACATACTGCAGAAGTCACAGCAATAGCATGCTGACTACAGGAACATCATTTCTTGGTAACAGATTTGCAATCCAGCACAAGATTTGCAAGTTCTCTAAAAAGATCTGTTAGATGTATCGTTCTAGAAGCTGGCAAGCTATTGGCTACCCTGCATAATAGTCATAAGAGCAGACAATTGGGGAAAAAAAATAAAGAAAAAGAACCGTACGTGCTTGGGATAGGTAACTACAAATATTGTGTCTGACATGTTTCTGCATAACAGAAGTTTACAGCTAATCAACTTCTTCATAAACATTAGATCATTATTGCCTGAACCCTAAACTGGGTTTACTAAAACTATGAAATGAAAGTTCTTCTACAAGCAAATAAATGAGAAGAGATTGTGGTCCCATTTTCTAGTCAATCGCAAAAATTGTATTTTACAAAGTAATGGAGGTTGTTTCTTAACTTTTGAGAAAAGGAGTGCAATCTAAGCCACTGTACTGCTGCTGATAGAAAAGGGCATGTTATGTCAATCTAGTACAGATTATGTAAATGCAAACAAGAATCATTTTAAAACAACAAAAAGCCTAAATGGAAAGAAATGAGAAGGTAATATTTATTCTCCTGTTCTTACTTCACATTAAGTCAACAGCTGAAAACTAGTCTGAGGTGATTCGCCCAACACACTGCATTTATTTTAATGAATGCCACTTACCAACTGCTCAATTCGTTCATAAATGAGAAACTGGCAGAAATCGAGCTTAATGGGCTCCACAGTATATTTCATTTTTCTATCTTGGAGGTTCTCCAAATCATTTAGAGTATTTCTAAAATGACTGTAGGCTTCACATGTAACATCCATATGTCTTAAAGTGAAGTTCAGCCTGGCAAGAGAATATTTAATTTAAAAAGTCTCTCCTACACTGGCATCTTAAATAGCTATGTAACTTTCCTCTGCTAACGGAAAAGGTGGGTCTTCTCACTGTAATTAACTAACTTCGATAGCAAAAGAAACTCACCCCCCTGCTATTCCTGAAAAGCAGACAGGAGTTGTGTTAACATCAATACCCAGTAACTCTTGGATGAATCTTTCCATTGATTTTAAGGCACTTTGCTGCAACAGAATCACTGGCTTGGCTTCCTGGACAAACACTTGGCAACAAATCATATGAATAGCTATTGCTTACATATCTCCAGAGATTTCAGCAAAGCCTATTTATATATTAGCTTACAAATGGACTGCAACACATGACTACTTAGAAAAATTCAAGAATTCCTTGAAAGAAAACACAAGAGAAATTGTTATAGAGGTTCTTAAGCTGGGAAACATATACCCCAATCCTAAGCCCCTTCATTGCACTCTATGACCTCAAAAGTATATAGCAAATGTTGTCAGGCATTACAGAATAAGTCACTCTAGCCACCTATTTATCCTTATTTGCACAGAGGTTATCTGATGCGAGACAAAAGGTAGGACAACAAAAGCTGAACTCTTGTGGAAGTCGAATTCTGAACCGATAAGAACTCAACATGTATTAAAAACAACTGCTTGTCCTGAGCATATACTGCAGCCTGTGACCAACTAATACAATGAAAAACAGGAGCTGACCTTCAATCAAATCATAAGTTTCTTCCAAATAAAGAAAGCACGTAAAGTTTTTAGTGCTTTTTATTTTAAGTTCTTGGTACTACTTACCTCTTTTCTAATGCTAGGTAAACTGTGCAAGAATTCCTCAAGTTGTGTGTGATTCTATACAGTGTTCTGAACAAGGCATTTGTCAGGTCATCATCATAGAACACTACGAAAAAAAAGGCGAAGAGCATGAAATAGGTATGTTTAAGTGCACTATTTACTTAAGTTTCAGATATGAAACAACAACAGGCCTTAGTTTGATTATTCTAATCAAACAAGTCACTATTTAATTAAAATCCCGAAGTATATTTTTAATGGCAACAACTGACCCTCTAATAGTATCCACTGCTGCTACCTGTGCCAGGCTTTCTTTAAGATTTCTCTCCTATCAACAGGAATCACTTCTGTCATACCTAACTTACAAAACAAGTTTCTCTCAGCCTGGAAATATCTTACTGGAAAGCTAAAAAAAGACAAGATATCACAATCTATAGGGCATCATTTCTTACAAAATTACAAAAAAGGCAGCATAATACACCATTATAACCATATCTCCTTGGAAAACAATTTTGTAACACCTTTCAATATCATAGCTAAAACCAATCCTCCTTTATTTCTATATCTAAACAACAATGGTTTTCCCATCCAGATAAGCTAGTCTGTCACTTTTCAGTATTTCACTTAAGCAAGAAAAAGAGCAGGAAAAAAAAAAAAAAAAAAAAAGACAGAGATATCCAAAGGTATAGGCTCTATTGGCGAGTGCAGCATCTGAAACTGTTTTTCACATTACAGAATATATTAGTCTAACTGCCTGTTTATCACTATTTGCACAGAGGTTATCTGATGTAAGACAAAGGCAGGACAACAAAACTCTTCTGAAAGTCAAATTCATCACTTACTTGTGATTGTGTTCTTTGAGTAATTTATTTAGTCACAAATAATTACCACTCCAAAGGAAAGAAAAAAATCTAGCAGTTTTCAACGTATGTTCTCCTATTGCTAATGCAGAATGTAAATACAATAGTTTAAAAAAAAAAATACAGGCAGGAACACTGAAGGCAGAGCTTTGACAAATTAGGTAAGGATCTGACCTATTAGATTCTAAAAGCAAATTAGGTATGTTTAAATTATTACTGATAATGCTCAGCTGTCTGATTTAAAAGCTTACTGTTTATATTTTCCTACCATCAGCTGCCATTATCACAGTACAGTGCTCATGCAAATCAGCAATCTCTTCTTCAGACCAGCTATAAGGAGCTTCAGGATCTGTAACAAAGAATATGGCTTTGGTGTACATGATTAAATGTCTCAACTGATTGACAGCTGGAAAACTCCTGTGGTCATCTGCCACTCCATAAATGGCGCACCCCCTGAAGGTAAATCAAAACTTCCCTCTGTTCATTCTCTGAAGTTCCCTGCAGTCCTTTGCTTTCTCTCTGTTATGTCCAGCCCTCACAAGGCTGACTGGGAAGTTTCTTTGACTTTAGAAATTACTACCCTGTAGTGAGATTGCAGATTTAACTAGTTAAAATAAATACTCCTTTAAATAAAAAAGCAAATGCATCTTTGCCTAAGTTTTGATTAAGCTTCCTACTTCATCATGCTTTTTTAAATTTAGCCTTTGTTAAAATACAGAAACTTTCTCTGAAAGTCTAAAAAATATAAAACCTTTTCAAATAGCTTTTCAAAGTATCAAATATTTTCATTAACAAGAATTTTTTGAAGTCCAAGAGAGGCTTTTCAATGTGTAAAGAAAGATTCCACTTGCTCGAGTGGTTGTTCTATTTTTTAGAAGCATTAAATCAAATCCAACTGATGACATAAAAATTTATAAAGTAGGCTTCACATAACCTAGTACTACCATTTTGTGTTGACCCTGCAATCACTAGAAAGAAAGTTCTAGTGATCTGCTTTACTACCACTAATTGCACTTTAAATGTTACTCAAGTTAGTTGTCTTTATTTTTGCTAAAAGCAGCATAACACATTCCCTTGGCATATATTTCAAATATAACACAGTCACCACTACATTTAGAACAAGTATTTATACATCTTCAAATCACCACCTACCTCCCCGCCACCTCTTCTGTTTGTGTGTTCATGCAGCCCTAAGCCACACAACGCCATCACATCAAAATCTGGATTACAGTAACTCAAATCCACGTCACTGTGCCTGGATTCCATTATCACTACATAACAGACACATCTTGTTTGCACCTCTGTATTTTGACCTAAGTAAAGGACAGTCACCATTTGTCTGTTCTCATCCTGACAGTAAATCCCTCCTTACTCATTCACAAGGCAATGATGCACCCAAAGACAATCGGGTACTTTCAACTATTTTTTCAGAGGTGTATGTGCTGGAGGACTTACATCATAAACCACAGAATAAGCTTTACTTGACGGTTCTGAGGGAAAACAAAACAAAACAAACCACCAAATCCTATCTGAAAGGACCCATTACAACCACCTACCAGTGCAAAATTCATCTTTCAGCCAGTCCAATTCTTTCACTTTAATTTCCCCTCCTGTGGGTGAAGAAAGATTCCATCAGTCACAAATGGCCTTTCAGACAATACCCAAGCAAATGCAGAGTCAAAATCTGTACTGAAACAACTGCTGAATATCTATTATGAAACAAGTCAAGTTGAACATCAAATCATTTACTGTACAAAACCAGTTACCCACTCTCAAGAGAACAGGATGAACTTAAGAAAACCTATGTTCTCTTTTATGTGTCTCACCTGCAGAATAATTCTCCTTTCCAGAGTTCCACCTCTGTCATTTACACCCTGTTTACATGAACCTTGGCACCTGGATATCTGTGATCCTCTCAAGAACCTCAGCAAAACTCACACACTGACTGTGCAGGAACTACAGCTGGATTTAAATGATGGCCAGAGAAAGAGTAAGTGTCTTGCTCTTCTCAAAAGGAAGCTGAGCACATACAAGTATCTTGCATCTTTTTAAATGAGTCACTTTTAACAAAGACAAAAATTAATTTTACTTGTGAATATGCTGGGTAGTCGATGACTGTGCTGTTTAACCCCAAAGTAGTTCACATACAGGAAACTGCACAAACACTGACTGTACAGCACTTACTGCCCGGCTCCATCAAGTGTTTGTTTAACGCAACATTTTGCTCACACATGGCCAGAAGATCTTCACCAACATCTGGAAAAAAGTGATAATGATATTCAAAATAGGACTATTTTGCATGGGCCATGCATGCCCCTGACATCTCAGGATCTAAATACTCTAAATACTCCTAAATCTCTCTCAAGCTGACGAGATTAAGGAAAATTCAGAGCAACTCTACCCACTGATGATTGCTTCCTTAGTATCCCTCTTGCTTTTGTCTTTCAGTACTAAGCTCTGAGCCACGCCTGAAGAAAGAAGGTAGATCCCTATGCTCCCTATTTTAATCTAGGAACACTATCTTGAGTTCACAGCAATGCATCTTGCTTTTAAAACCTTGTGGTTAAAAGTAGCACTGCTTTTTCAATCTGTTGAGAAAACTCTTTTTATTTTTCAATAAACAACATAACTTTATACACATTAATAAGAAATTATTAACTAAAACTGAACAGATGAGGATGAAAATGCCAGGATGAAAGCATTACTTCATGAAGTTTGATGAAAACATTTAACTGAAAGTAACTGCCTTACCTGTGCAATAAACTCTCCTGGCAACTGTTCCCATGATAACGCTTGTGATTCCGGTGCCACCTCCAAGCTCTAGCACTGAGCAACACCTGAACATGTCCCGTTTAAACAGAATGTAATCAGCAAGAAGAAAGGCTGCACGCCAGACCTGCGGATAAGAGAAGCAATTAAAACTGAGTAAATTCTGAAGCACAATCCATGAACAGGGAGGTATCACAAGGCAGAATACGTACTTGTTTACCAACATCTTCTAAGGGTGTTGCCATAGTATGTTCTGTGAAAATGAAAGTAAAGCAGGAATAATTATCTCAAAATGTTGTTCCAATCAACTTCCATAGCAGCAAATTTGAAAATCAAGTCATGCTTGATCAAGTCTTTCAAATACAGAACTAAACACTCTTAATTCTATATAATAATGCCAGATAATCCTCAAAACCCCACTCTAAGGGGCACCGAGTCTCCCATGGTATACTATTACACAAAGAACTTCTGGAGAAAAATGGTAATTTTTTTAAATATTTACAATATCACAGTATCATGTTTGTTTTATTATCTCCTTTCACTTAACAACTGCTGTACTATTTCCAAAAGAAAACCTATTTTTTTGTTTTACACAAACATATCCATTCCATTTCTCCTTGACTGTAAGCCTACCATTTACCTATTTTAACAACATCACTGCAAGTGCATTCTTGTTCTTCATCTTCAAAAGCATCTTCTTTCCCTTTCATCAGAATTACAGGATACACTCTGTCCCTCAAAATATCCTCCGCTTCTAAATCAGAGGCACTTTGAGGTCTTCTGACCACTTCCAAGTCTCCGTCATCATCTAGCAGAGCTTCTACTCCTTCACTATTTAATTCTCTTTCTTTTTTTGGATTATTCCCATCCTTGTCACACAGTCCCTCTACACCTCTGTGCTGGTGTTCTTTTTCTGTTGTAGCTTCTCTCACATGTTGCTCAGATGCCGAATCTTCTGTGTTCCACAGGAGTTTGAAACACGACAGGAATACTGTAAGAACATGGAGCGGGGAGAAAACACAATTTATGCACAACTTCCACATGCGTGAAATTTTGTAATGCACTTCACATATTAAAAATCTGGAGGACAAAAAATTACACAGAAAACATGAAATATAGTTCAATTTGCTGCAAAGAAATATTTCTGTTATTAAGTTCTGTCAGTAGAAGGAAACGAAGCACTTTCACAGCCTACTGGCTGACTCAGCATCTACGCAGTCACAATGCACACCTTCATCTGACTGAGTAACATTTATTTTAACAGTTGGCACAAGGAATGGCTTCTTACATCCTCCAAAAGATCTTCTGTTGAGGCAAGCTCAAACCAAGTTGAACGAAGAGTTAATACAAGTCAGAATGTGTTTCTTTTGGTTAAGATTTAATTCCTATCTTCTAAGAAACATGTTCTAGTAAAAAGCAAATAGAAATGTTTTTATTGTTTTAAAAGTCTTCAAGAATTCAAGCAACTTCAAGCATTGAAATCAGCTTAGTATGAGTATGAGAGAGCAGAAATAAGCTCACAGGAGACAGGTTGGCAAAGCCAGACATGCTGACATTTCTTTTTTAAAAAAAGTCTTCAAACTGAATCTTTGAGGAGATTCAATGAGTAAGGCCATTACAGAATCACAGAATGTTAGGTCCCTTCCAGCCCCTCGAAAGATCCAACCCTGCAACCATCACCCAGTGCATTCAGCACCTATTAAAAATTTAAGTTATCCAAACACAGGCCTTGTCATTTTAATTATAGGAATCTGTATTGTCTAAATACAACACATGAGGAAGAAGAAACATTTGTCCTTCCATTTACAGTTGATCTCAGCTCTCCAGCAGTGCTTACACACTGTGCTTGACTGAATAGGCCAGTCATAGAACACAGTATCATAGAATTTGGTTCTCTACTCTGGTATGAAATCAGTGCTTGTAGACATCTCAGGCTGGGTACTATTATTCTAAAACCATATACAATGCGTTGAGACTTGAGAAAAAGATAGCCAAAAATACAACTACTGAAAAAGGTCAACACCAGCAGGATTCCAAGAAAAATGTCTTAGAATTATGTTCAATCACACCAAAAGGGAAAAGATAAAGTGCTTGCCTCCGCCGCTTTCCACAATTTCACAGTTTATGGAGTTCTCTTCCAGTTTCTTTAAAAAGCAAGACATTCAAAGTCGGTCTACTGAAACCCGAGAGAAGTTCTTCTCTAGAGAGGCCACTTTCAGCTAGATCTAATAAAATCTTCATTGCCTACCCTAGCATGAGAGATGTTTTAAGTCATCTACTGTTTGCATGACAACCAGATTAAACCGATTTCAACAGCTAACAAATTAGAGGATGCCATCAATGAATTAAACGCTTTTGTTCTCCAAGTCCGTTCTGGTCCTCTGCATGTTCTATGGCGTTTCAAAAGGTGTAAAGTAAAACTGCCCCAAAGCAGCAGAGACTAAATCCCCACGAGGTTCCCTAAAAACCAGCAAAGTGACAGTGCTAGCTTGTCGTCATGTTTGTTAAAGCTGTCATACCACAATCCAGTTCTTGTCTTAACAAATAAAGGAATTTCCCAGACGAAGTACATTCAGAGGAGGTCGCACTTGCTGTCACTTCATTGTTGAAAGGTGCTTTCATCAAGCAAAATCACAGCAAACAAATGTCAAACAGCATGAAGGCAACCACAGCACTAATTACCCCACTGACCTGATCAGGGTCAAAATTATTATTATTATCCACTTCTTTGTCAAGCCTACTTTTATCATTTTTTACATCGTCACATGCTAGAACAGCTGCCAAAGTTATGCTTTTTATGTCATAACTGGATTTGAAAAAGCAATTAACACTCCTGTCGCAGCAGGAGCAGTACTTTTCTACAGAGCCCTTTACCAGCAGCTTCAGGGTCAGTTTCCTTGACAACTTTATAGAAACCCACAAGCTGGCCATCAGTCAGAGGCATCTGCCAAGTCATTCCCACTACAGCCTTGACTCTTCAAATCGTCTAAGTCAGCCAAACCCATTGCTATTCCAAGCTTTCTTGCTGCTGACTCTTTTAAAACCAAAAAAACCAACACCCAACCCAAAACCTAACAAAGCTGTCAGGCTCCTCTGGAATAGACGGTAAATCATCACATAAAGATTTTATAAAAATTCATAAATCAATTACTAATAATTTTTATTCTAAACTTAAGTTACACTATTTAAACCCCTGGCTTCTCACCTTTTGTTTGTATGCAAGAAACAGCCCAACCTTTTAACATGATTCCCAAAGTGCTATATTGAGATTATAGCTAAATGAACAAATAAATAAATAAAATTAAACCTGCAGGCAAGCTAATTTGGTTACTTCTTCGCAGAAAATAATTTAAAATTTCTTTTTTAAGATAGGCTGTCTACACATTATACATTAATAGTTTTCATTTCTGTAGTT